ATCTGAGCATTCTAGGAGACCAGACCGACCGCTCCCACCATCGAAATCGCTAGGGTATTTTTTAGGCTGAAGGTCGAGACCCACATGGAAGCTTGGAGAAGCTCAACAAGGGGCTGAGAGCAGTGGGGTTCGAAGACTATCTGAGAATAAGCAATGTCTTTTTCTGGCTAGAAGCAAAGATCCATACTGGAGACAGTGTGGGGCACATACCTGTAATCCCAGCACGCTGGGAGGCTGAGGCAGGATGATACGAGTTCAAGCCCAGCCTGGGCAACTTAGCAACTTAGTGAGACCCTACCTCAACTAAAAAAAATAAATAAATAAAAAGGGCTGGGATGTAGCTCAATGTGAAGGCCCTAGGTTTGCAAAACAAAGGGAGGGGAAAGCCATGAAGGAAAGTGAGAGGATGTAAGGTTGAAAGACAAAGAACCCAGCACAAGGATGTTGAATGTCAGGCACAAAGAAGGAGGAAAAACACATATGGAGAAGTTTAAGAGAGAAAGCACAGTTGCAGAGAGCAGAGGTCCTAATGAAGGAGAAGGCAGGGAACACTGCTAAACACTACCTAGAGTCCAGCTGACAACAACTGAACAAATCCCCTAGATCTGTGCTTAAGAAGTCACAGGAAACAATAGGGCACATGTCTGTAATCACAGCTACTTGGGAGGCTGAGACAGGAGGGTTGCAAGTTCAAGACTAGCCTGGGCAATTTAACAAGAGCCTCGAAGTACAAAGAGCTGGGGACACAGCTGATAGATGGCTGATGTCACATCTGATATGGTACCCGTGGTCTGGATCCCCACTACCAACAAAAGATCGCCTTCAGGATCCTTCTGTGTTGGGCAGGCCAATCCCTAACCCCGGCTTCAAGTGACTCTCCCTCCTGGGCCTCTCTGCTGTGTGGCTGCCTGAATCCATTCACCTTTTGTCATCACTTTGACTTGAGAAAAGAGCCAGAAGTCACACAGCGCCAGATGCAATGAATAAAGTGGATAAAGATGCAGCAGAATGCTTTTATTTGACAGAAATTGTCGTAACTGTTTCGAATCACATCAGGACATGCAAGCAGCCCCAAAAAAGACACTAAGGAGAAAGGACTCCAGAACTGCTTCAGAAAGCGGCAAGAACCATGGGATCAGTATATTCAAAGCTGGGGGAGTATTCTGAGGGGAAGTCATAGCAATGCATCCTTCGATATTTTTAAATTTTTATTTAGACATTCACTGTATGCTTTCAGCTCATCTCATAGCTTCTCTAACGCCCTCTCCTTCTGCTTTCCCACCTTCATCAGCTGCAGGCTCACAGGCTCTCTCCCTCCAGCACACAAACTCCCGCCTCAATCACAGCTCTTGCACTGGAAGTGTGTTCCTTCAGGTCTGGCAAAGCTCCATCCTTCCCATCCTTATCCTTTAGTTCAAAGTCACCTCCCCAGGTAGACCTTCCCTGACCCAGCCAATACAGGGTAACCTCCCTCCATGGGAGACATGCCACCATCACATTACCATGCTGCCTTTTAATTTTCACCGGAAATGATCTTGTACATTAACTAACTTACTGCCAGGCGTGGTGGTGCACACCTGTAATCCCAGCACTCGGGAGGCTGAGGTAGGAGGATTGCTGTGAGTTTGAGACCAGCCTGAGCTACATAGTGAGTTCCAGGTCAGTCTCAACTACATAGTGAGACCCTGTCTCAAAAAAACCAAAAAAAAAAAAAAAACAAACCTAACATTTATTGAGCACACACAATATTATTATATTATATTATTAACTTATTTATTGTGTACACATTAGAGGGTTGATTTTACAAGCGCTGAAGCCATTTCCCTCATGAGAATTGCCCCATTCTTGGACTGTATCTTAAAACTTAAAGAGAAGTGGAAGCAGACACTGTGGAGGAATACATAGGATGGTGAGAGGAAGGGAACGTGAAAGAACTGCCACGGACACTGGCCTGGTGGAAGGCAGACAGTATGAACTTGAACTTCACCAAATGTCCAAGAAGGCACAGCGGAATAGGATCCAGTGCACCATCCAAGGAAACTGATGGATTGGGGTGGTTAATACACAGGGATTAAGGGTTTAGAGTCATGAACAGCAGGAAGGACCAGTCCCACAGGCAGGATGGATGGATGGATGGATGGACAGGTGGATGGAGGGATGAAAGGATGGATGGGTGAATAGAAGAATGGATGGGTGGATGGGTGGATGGATGGATGGATGGATGGATGGATGGATGGATGGGTGGATGGATGGATGGATGGGTGGATGGGTGGATGGATAGATGGATGCAAGGAGGGGTAGATGGGAGAACGGGAGGATGGATGGATAGGTGGGTGGATCAATGAATGCATAAATGGATAGGTGGGTGGGTTATATCCCAGGTAAAATTCTGAGTTTCAAGGCAAAGAGCTCTGATTGGGTATTAGGGATTAACTCCCAGAAGCTCCTAGCACAGCTGCCCCACTGCCTAGTCTCCACTGCCACCCAACGCTGCCCTAGGGGAAGGCGCTTGCCCAGGCTCCGTGGGTGGCTGTCTCAGCAGAGGGAAAGCTCTGCCTCCTGGCGACCCTGCTGCAATTATCACCACAGCTAACGATGTCAGTGACAAGTCACCGAAGGCTGGGGGAGCAGATAACATCGGGGAATTTAATTCTTGAGTGCTGTGAATTCTTGCTTCTCTCCTCTCGCTGAGATGAGCCCCTGTCCCTGGTAACAGGGTTATCAGCACTCACGAGGGAAAGGAGGAACGGGGCTATGCATGGCAAGCAAATCTAAATCCCAGCTGGACTCGGGGACAAAGGAATAATGACATGGATCAGAAGTAAAGTTTCCTCTTGCATTACAGAGAAGCCGTGTGGCTCAGCCCAGCAAGAGAAGGGGTGGGGCAGCTGCCCCCTCTTCTTTAGGGCTCTTGAGAAAAGAGGGCAGGATAGAAGGCCCTCCAGCTAAGCTTGCAAATAAAACTACAGGACACCCAGTGCACTAGTCAGCACTCTGCTACTGTAACAAACACCCAAATAAAGCAATCTTTAAAGAGGAAAGGTTTGCCACGTGCTGGTTTATGCACATCTGTGATACCAGCACTGAGGAGGCTGAGGCAGGAGGACTGCCCTGAGTTCAAAGCCAGCCTGGGCTACATAGCAAGACCTGGTCTCAAAAGAAAAAATAAAGAGGAAAGGTTTGTTGTGGCTCGCAGCTTTGGAGGGTCTGCCTATGACTCATTGACCCTCTTGCTTTGGGCCCATGGTTGAGGCAGCCTGAGAGAGAACCAAGAGCCCCGGGAGACCAAGTCACTTTGCGTCTCCACCACCGCCTCTGGCACTGGGCCATTGAACTTCCAGGGTCATTCTCTACCCTAACCCTAGCACCTTGTTCCATGTGAATAGCACGAAAACAACATTTAGTATAAGTGTATGCCTTGGTGTCCCATGATGTGTACGTACACTATTAAATTAGTCATTCTTTACGTGAGATTCAAAACCAACTGAGCATGCTATGCTACTCCAGCCAGTCCGTCTTCATGTGTGCTAGAGGTGAGGGCCGGGGAACTGGACTGAGCCGCTGAATGGAGGAAACCTCCCCAGTGTCTACACAGAGTGGCTGCACAGAGACCCAAAATGCTTCAGGGTCATTTTGAGTATGAGTGATAGTGGAGATAAATGTCCTTACATTTAAATTTAAAAATTAGAGAACTTCAAAGCCAAATGTGGTGGTGCGTGCCTATGATCCCAGCACTCAGGAGGCTAAGGCAAGAGGATCGCAGCAAATTCAATGCCATCCTGGACTACATAACAAGACCATGCCTCAAAAACCAAAAAAGAGAAAAAAAAAAAAATCAAAGAATTTAAAAGCCCAAGCCAGGCGTGG